GGAAGCTTGGCGGGGAGGGATGCTGCTGCCGCTGCTTCCCCCGGGTTGGCAGCCATTGAGTTGCCCCAAAGAGAAGACTGGGACGATAGCGACCGTCATCGGTACCGGGGAAGAGGACACCTCCGGGGCAGGGCTGCCGAGTGGACCAGCAGGCACAGCCCAAGCAGGCTTGAGCCCGCCGTGCTGAGAAGGCCGGGGAAAGGGCTCCGGGGAGGGGATGGGACCGCCCGGCACCGCGCAGCCCCGCTCGGGGCTTCCCGCAGTCGGGGGAGCCAGACAAGCCGGCTTAGAACGGCACTAGTGGTTTTCTGGAAACAGCACTGTGTCGTGGCGGGATTGTTACTTGTGTGGTTGTGAGCATTCGTGTGAATTAACAGTTTAAGGTGTCAATCGTTTTATACGTTTGGTGTTTTTGTTGGGTTTTTGTTTGTTGCTTTGTTTTGATTTAAAAAACAAAACAAAATTATCTGTTGAGTCGGAGGGGAAATAAATCCCTCTATGGTGCAGACAGCGTTATATCTGGTGTTTTTTTTTTTCAGCTAGCCTCGGGGTTTTCTTGGGTGAACTCAACATTTTGCAGCCCGAGAGGACAGGGTGACAGCAGAAGGTGCTGTTTCAGCCGGTATCCCATTAGCAGGGACACCTCGGGCATAGTTCACTTGCATAACTTTTGCAACACATTGGAAAAACTTTAAACAGCTGTATGTAACCTCAACCCCCTCAAAATATTTGTACCGCTCCAGTCGAGATTGAAGACGTGCCAGGTTGAGCTGGAAAGCGGGCTGATATATATATATATATAATGACAATTATTTGAATTTATTTTATAGAAACGATTGTTGAAGGGACTCGACAAGCTTTTGTATGGAACAAAGATGAGTAGGGATACGGAATAAGAGGACATGCTAAATACCCCGTGAACTGTGTTTCCTTCTATGCTTAAATAAATATTACAAAGTTAAGTTTCAGAATCTTTGACTTTGCGTCGCCCGAGACTCCAATTAGATTTTTTTTTCCCAAAGGCCAAGCTATTTAACACTTTTAAGATCCATTTTCTTTCAAGGCAAGGCAACATCCCTCTTGAAACATAGCTAGTCTCCTCATAGATGAATTAAACCTGACTGAATAAAAAAGTAAGTATAGTTTCGTATTTTCCACCCTTCAAAGGTCCCTGTGACGCTCCCGCTTCACTCTGGTTTCCGTGCCGCAAGTATTCAGAGAAATATTGAAAGATTTGGCTGATTCCCACTTCCAGAAGGGGTGAGCAGAGACCCACTGCTCCAACTCCTTTGCCTCGTCAGGAGTGATGGGTGCGCACAGGAAACTCACTAGGATTTCTTGAGCGGTTTCAGCACCCGAGGCTCCGGCAGAGCCCCGCGCTCGTCCCGCAGGTTCACCTCGGAGCCTTGTTTCCCCGCCCGGAGGCTGAGCCCCCCCCACCCTGTCCCAGGCAGGGGCTGAG